AAATAATTGTATGGAATCATGTCCAGTTGTGACATAAACAATTGTGGTGAAGATATTCTGTATTTATCAGGTCAACATGCACTTTACCTACGTTTCTTTTCTTCAGGTTGCTGCTGTGGAGCTGAAAACGTGGAGGAAACGACTGAACCAAAGGTTTCTGTAAGATTATCACAGGCAAGGAATCCCAAGTTAGCCTTGTCTTCCCAGAAGAGCCACCCCTGTGAGGGTTGTGGGCTGGTCTTGGGAAACATTTTCCACATGATGGAGGGTCAGGAAACACAACACAGACAGATATTGTTGAGATGTGGGGCATGTGCAAAACAATTTTATTTCCGAGCAAAATTTCACCAGCAGCATATGAGAGAGAAGTCTTTCACTAGAGGTGTGGACAGGATCTCACTTGCAAACAGCTGCAATTTCAATGTGTCCCAGAGTCGTTTCACATGCGGGGAGGTTGGGCACGGTGTCCTTACGGGGTCAGGACATTTACACCTAAAGGCTATTCAGGCCAGGAACAGTCCAACTGCAATTTCGACCTGTGCCATGACATTTCAAAGGATAGAAAATTATTACAGTAGAAAAGAATGTCAGAGAGACATTAGTTGCACCCACACCTTTATTCAGGAAAAAGGTGTCCATCTTGGAAGTGGGTGTTTTATGTCCTCTGAATGTGGAAAATATTTTACCAAGTTATCTAGCTTTCATTATCAACAAAGAGGTCACACGAGAGAAAAGCCTTATGAATGCAGTGAGTGTGGGAAAGCTTACACCAGTAGCACTGGACTTCGTCGTCATCAGAGATTTCATATGGGAGAAAAACCTTATAAATGCAGTGAATGTGGGGAATCTTTTACACAGAGCACTAAACTTCGTTATCATCAGACAGTTCATACAGGAGAAAAGTCTTATAAATGCAGTCAATGTGAAAAATCCTTTAAAAGTAGCAGTGGTCTTCAATATCATCAGAGAGTTCACACTGGAGAGAGGCCTTATAAATGCAGTGAATGTGGAAAATCTTTTGCACGGAGCAGTGCCCTTCGTTGTCATCGGATAGTTCACACGGGAGAAAAGCCTTATCAATGCAATGAATGTGGGAAATCTTTTACCTCTAAGACCGTCCTTCATCGTCATCAGAGAATTCATACTGGAGAAAAGCCTTATACATGCAGTGAATGTGGAAAATCTTTTGCACTGAGCACTGCCCTTCGTTATCATCAGAGAGTTCACACTGGAGAAAAGCCTTATCAATGCAGTGAATGTGGAAAATCTTTTACCACTAGCGTTGCCCTTCATTGTCATAAGAGAATTCACACTGGGGAAAAGCCTTATCAATGCAGTGAATGTGGGAAATCTTTTACCCAGAGCACTCACCTTCGTTTTCATCAGAGTCTTCATACAGGAGAAAAGCCTTTTAAATGCAGTGAATGTGGGAAATCTTTTACCCAGAGCACTCACCTTCGTTTTCATCAGAGAGTTCATACAGGAGAAAAGCCTTATAAATGCAGTGAATGTGGGAAATCTTTTACAAGGAGCAGAAGTCTTCAATATCATCAGAGAGTTCACACTGGAGAAAATCATGAGTGCAGTTAATATGAGGTATCTCTCAACCAAATTTCTAAATTTGCTCTGCACATATGAGTCCAAATGTGAGAAATTTCTTAGATGTGTAGGAAATGTAGTTTCTTAGTTAGATCCTAACATTAGTACAAAAAAATTTATGTATCCTCATTTTTCTGAATTGTATCTCATACTTTTAATCACCTACATTATGTAAAGTTCCCATAAGTGTTCTTGTTGTGTTTGTTTTTATGTTGGAACACTGTGTAATTATGTTGCACGTTCTAACATACAGAGATGTCCTGCCAGATCAATGTCACTGCATCTTTCTGTTGTAGAAGGTATTTCATCTGAACCACCTATAAGGTCCCTACATACGGCGTCAATCACCATTGTCATGTGCCCGGGGAAGCTAACTCTGTTGTCTTTTTTGTTGAAGAAAATGAGGAATACCTGAGTCCATAGTTCTTTCTTGTTTTCCTGTCATGCGTTGCCACATAGAACTGATTATTGTTGGCCTCAGTAAACATAATGTTGCAGAGGGAATGCTTTCCCTGAATGCCAGTGATGAATTTATTGAGTGCCTGAGTCATCAGTGGAAGAACTGCCATTCTCCTGTCTCTTTGGTTTGTACAATAATGAAGGCTTTTCGTAATACTTCTTTAATCTTGGGTGTTCTGTTTACTGTGTGGGTTAGCTTTAAGGAGATCGGGGCTCTCCAAGCACAATGAGGTGAACAACTTTTATGGGGTCTCAAACATTTTTGCCCTTGGGGGAATATTGTGGTGCAGGATTAGCTCAGCAGTTTTTGGCAAATTTACACTGCTGCCCATATTTTCCTAGGAAATACTCTGGACTCTCTAATCCTCATTTGATGTCTGGATGCTTGGAGACATAGCAGTTACATCAAAGAGGGGGTAGCTGTGACAACCTCAAGTATGTCTGGGAGCATGAATTTTTTTTCTTGTTTGCAAGGGATGCCAATACATGTGAAGGTATCTCTTGCCCAGGTGTTGCAGAGGGCCATGTGCCCTGATGCCTACAATTTCACAATTTTTTTTTAAATTAAATCTTTATTGTTCTGATTACATTTGTTCCTCTTTTTTTCCCATAACTCCCCTTCTCCCAGTTCCCGCCCCACCCTCCGCCCTCACTCCCCACCCACTGTCCTCAACCATAGGTGCATGATTTTTGTCCATTCTCTTCCCGCATCTCCCATTCCCCTTCCCCCCCCCCCCCCAAGAATAGTCAGTCCATTCCCCTTCTATGTCCCTGATTCATTGTAATCACCAGTTCATTCTGTACATCAGATTATTTATTCACTTGATTCTTAGATTCACTTGTTGATAGATGCATGTTTGTTGTTCACAATTTGTATCTTTACCTTTTTCTTCTTCCTCTTCTTAAAGGAAACCTTTCAGCATTTCGTATAATACTGGTTTAGTGGTGATGAAGTCCTTTAGCTTTTCCTTATCTGTGAAGCTCTTTATCTGACCTTCAATTCTGAATGATAGCTTTGCTGGATAAAGTAATCTTGGTTGTAGGTTCTTGGTATTCAGTACTTTGAATATTTCTTGCCATTCCCTTCTGGCCTGCAAAGTTTCTGTTGAGAAATCAGCTGACAGTCGTATGGGTATTCCCTTGTAGGTAATTGAGTCTCTCTTTCTCTTGCTGCTTTTAAGATTCTCTCTTTGTCTTTTGCTCTTGGCATTTTAATGATGATGTGTCTTGGTGTGGTCCTCTTTGGATTCCTTTTGTTTGAGGTTCTCTTCGCTTCTTGGACCTGTAAGTCCATTTCTTTCACCAGGTGGGGGAAGTTTTCTGCCATTATTTCTTCAAATAGGTTTTCAATATCTTGCTGTCTCTCATCTTCTGGCACCCCTATTATTCTGATATTAGTGCGCTTGAAGCTGTCCCAGAGGCTCCTTACACTATCTTCACACTTTCGGATTCTTTTTTCATTTTGCTTTTCCAATTGGGTGTTTTTTGTCGAATCTTTGGTTTGAGTCTTGTGCTCCTCTGGTCTGCTATTGGGTATAATATTCTTTATTTCAGTCCGTGTATGCTTACTTTCTAATTTCTTTATCGTAGCATCGAGGGTCTCATTAGTTTTCGTGAGGCTCTGCACAAATTTATGGCAAGCCCTCAAAATTGTGATTCTTAGCTCCATATCCTCCATTTCTGTCATGTTTTTTTGTCTCCGCATCTTATATGCTTTCTTGGTGCACCCCCTTGTGGTCTCTGTGCGCAGTCTTGTTCTAGTCAAGCCTTAATTGTTGTAGTTAACACTAGAGGGGTTTGACCACCAGGGCCGACTGGCTGTAGGAATCAGCTGTGGAAAACGTCTGTCTTCTGGGGAGGCGCTATTCCAGCCTTTGCCTGAGGTGGTCGGCAAATGGCCGTGCGCAGGGCCTGGGCAGGGCGGGCTCAGCAGGGCGGGGGGAGGGAGGCAGCTATGGCCGCTCTCAGTCCGTCTCCCGGGTCTCTGCCTCTCTGTCCCCACAACCGCTGCAAACCTCGGAGGGGCCGTAGCCAGACAGTCCCGCTTCTCCCGTTTGAGTCTGGGTCCCTAGAGACTCGCCCGGATCTGTAGCCCAGAGTCTGAGACTCGCTCCTGATTGAAAACGACAATCGCGCCCTCAGCCGCCAGCCCGCTTTGCGCGCGCACCCTCACCACCGCACCGCCGTACCTTTAAGTTTTCCACACTGCGCCTCCGCTGAGCGTCGGAATGCTGTTGTTTTTGCTTCTAGTTGAAGAGACTCTCCTCAGCCAGTCTTCCCGTGGTTCTGGTTGATGTCCGCTCCGACTTTTAGTTGTATTTTTGAAGTGGTTGTTCAAGGCAGCAAACTCCGGTGTTTACCTATGCCGCCATCTTCGATTCTCCTCTGATTTATTTCTTATACAAAAACCTCTCTTTCTCTTCTCGTGGGTGAGTGAATATTCCCAAGCCAAGTTCCTTTCCAGCAGAATTATTTTGCAGACACTTCTGGATTTTTGTTGTTGTTGTTGTCCTATACGTTTGTAAACAGGTAACAACAGATTTTTTTCATAGCATTTCTGAGATTAATTCAACATGGAAGCATCAGTTTAGCAGCCTGAGGATCAATGGGGGAATGTATAACTTCTTACATTTATTTTACATTTTAAGGTGCATGGTTTCAAGGTTCACTTTGTAAAAGTAATACCTCCTGTCAAGTAGCAATTCAATCTGATACAGTTCGAAGTACTTTCTATATTTTACACAACTATGTCCGCTTCCTATAAGGAAATTTTCAGTCCATTTGCCTAAAATGATTTTTTAGTTACCTCCAAAATTTTAAATGTTTCTTTCCTCCCAAAATAAGCAGTGGGCAATAATGATGTTTGCAAACAGCAATGTGTTACATATAGTAGGCGCTCAAAACATTTGTTTAAATTAACCCATAAAAGAATCACTAAAGTATTACAATCAATTTAGAAAGGGAAA